TTTTCGTTGAGATACAGGTACCATCCATAAAGAAGCAAGTGCAGAATCTTAAAGTACAAACAGACAAACAACAATAGGGCAATTAAATCTTATCAAAAAGTTACACTCTTTAAATATTAGTGCCAGTTCTTGAATAAAAAATAGTTTTCATGTAACATAAATACCTAGAATTTTTATATATACTAAGATGAAAATAGGATTCCAAACTTTTGGTGAATATTGGGTCAGGCACAATAGATAGATACGTACATACATACATACAAACATACAAATATTAAAATGCACTCGTGTGTGTGCATGCCTGTGTATGTGTGTTGAAGCCACCACACAACCCTCTGAAGTGCTGACGCTGCTAGAGGACATGTTCTCAATGAAACCCTGATACAAACTAGCAGCTCAGTTTTTCAGGATAATACAGATATTAACTAATGTCAAAAGATCAGAATTTAGAGTCAGTTTCTAATGTTAAATATAGAACCTGACTTACCATGTTCAAAGCCCATTTCATACTGAAAACACTGCCCTTCAGTGAGCACAGCACATGGTACCACGCACAGCTCTCAACTGTGCATTTCTAGTTTGCAGTGGTTCAGGTTTGTGGCATTTTGTGGTAGGACACGAATTGCTCAGTAACAAAGAAGAGTATCTTTTCTTCAAAGACGTATTAATTTTCCATTTAACACAGCTCCTAAGATCGTTACTACCCACTAAGATTACTGACATCATTTAGAACGCATTACCTGTATACAGAAGGTCCACACTAACATGCTTCTTGCCCTCGTGCTGAATTTCCCTATGTGCTGTGCTCTGTGAGGCACAGAGACTACTTTTTTAAACTTTTCATTGTCTTTTATGACAAATCATCACCAGATCTCTGGTTCCTCCTAACTTATGATTTTTTTCCCAGTCCTATTTGATTTAATCTTCTTCTAATAGAAATTGTGAGCTGGGAAATCAGTCTACCAGCTTGGCAGAATTTCAGGGAGAATTAAAATAAAAATGATGCAGAAAAGATCTCCATGTTATGACTTAATAATGTTGTAATACATGAAAGATAGAAATGGACAGATAGTGCAGAATTAATTTAGTGACAACAGAAGAAATGTTTTTGTTTTCTAATTTTTCTACCAAAAAGGAATAAGAACAAAACATTTCCAAACCAAATCGTCCACAACTGCAAGTGTTTATGCAAAGAATTTCTATGCAGAGGGGTTGTTTTGTAATATATAACATTAAGCTCCAGGAACACAGAAAAGAAGCAGTGGTCAGAAGTATAATTCTAAAGTGAATCTTCCCAAAACACCATAGAAGAGAATTCAAAACAAGAAAAAATACAAAGTAGGCCTGGCCCAACAGATATTAAAATATAGTCAAAACTGCAATTATTATAATACTATCATATTACAAGAGAACAGCGATTAAATGGAACACATTGGAGTCCAAGAACAAATTTATACATGAGAAGTCCAACTGTACAATATTAGGGGTTTTATGAATGAGTATCTTATTCCATATCTAAAAATAAATTCTGAATGGATTAAAATACTAACAAAAAAAGAAATAACAGAATTTTAGAAAACATTGATGAATGTTTGCATAAACTTAGAGAATGAAAGTTTTCTAAACAAGATATAAAACTGGCACTAATGGCTCGGCGCCTGTGG